TTATCATGGATTAGAACCGACATGGCGTGGTCTGGGCACGTTTTCGATGTTTTACGCTTCTAGGAGGTTTAAAATAGAAAATTAATTCATTACTTAACCGAAGTGACACATGGAACGCTTCACTTCGTATAATTCTCAACGTAGACTGTTAAAGACTTCAACATAAATGTTGTTAACATGATGCGCCATCTTATGTTACTACTTGAGTATCCAAAATGGCGTTACCGCCAGAAGGAATATAGATGAATTTTATTTCATCGACGTCGATTAAATTGCTCAGCGCCTTTCATATCACGTTAAGGATTTTAATTAGAATATTGGCGCAGCCGGCTCTTAATAATTTTGAAAAAGACCGAAAACAACACCGGTCTGCGACTCCCTAAGTACGCTACTGGTGGTTGCTGTCCGGCCGGCGGTCGCCATTTTGGCATTCGCAACCGGAAAGTGCACTCGCGAACCCGAAGCTAGCCGCGGCTGGTGAGTTTCTATCTTCGCGCTTAACTGGTTCGCCGAACTCCTTAAATGATCTAGAGATTTCGATTTTTTGGTAAAAAACGCCACGCCACCTTGGCGCGACGTCGCGAATACTCGCAACGCAAATTCCACGTGTCACCAACCGTACAACTCTGAATCGATCAAAGTGCCTATCAGTTATCTACGTCGTCCGGAGCACGATACACACGATACATTTTTAACATCTTAAAGTTGGTCATAAACTGGGAGCAGATTCAGGTTTAACTTCAAGTTATCCGCTAGGGTAAACTTATATTATCGCGAGTTAATCTTTATAAAACATCAGACGGAATCACCAGCCCAACAGTCCTAACATTTATCTCGCATACGCAGTGAAACTAGTCCAATTGGTTAACAGCTGTTTTTAAAATCATAACGGTGGCCAGTAAAGGCTTCCGAAAGATTACAGTTTCTACGGTTCTTTCCTAACGTAGAAAACGTTTCTCCCGAACGATTCAACATAAGTGCCAATTGCATTTCCTGATCGGGGGTGATTCTTATTTTTTTTTTATCTTTTACAGTCTACGTTGATAATTATACTAACTCAAGCGTTCCATACGTAATTTCAGTGAGTAACGATGAAGAGATCGATATAAAACTCTCGAAATCCCGTGAATTTATTATTCTAACGACTGTTTAGGACCAATGTCGCCATCTGCGACGTCTAGCTGCAACTAAATTTATGCGCTAGAAACACGTGTTAGCCCCGAGACAAGCCAGCATTCTCTTGCAATTATTGGTGTAAGTATTTTCCATATTTTCCCATCTGACTCTGTTCCATTTCTACGGTATTCTTAATTGTTCGAGGTAGGTCCTGAAACTCTTAATTTTCGATTCTAAGCCTCCAAGAAGCGTAAAACATCGAGAACGTGCACGGATCACGCCATGTGTGTTCTAGTCCGTGATAAATAAATCAATTTTTGTATGAAAAATGAAATCTCATGAGTTTCAGGATCTACTTTAGGACCTCCATGTTCACGTGGTAAAATTTCAAACGAATCGGTACACCCAATTCGGAGAATACTTTCACCAGCGATTGGACCTGTCACAAGGAATGTATCCCAGGTCGTTCTGTCTGATTTGATTTCTTTTATAATATGTTATAGTAGACTAAAAACTAAGTGACACGTATTTTTTTTTTTCTGCCATTAAACACTTTAAGGAGGTGAAACCACTGACTCTTTTATATCACCTTAAGTTTTGCGAACCCCGTGAATACCGGTAAGAGCTATATATGTGTACACATACTTTAGAAAAAACCGAGGTACAAAACGAACAACCTCGCTCGGCAGCTCCACACCATCGTGTCCGATCGAAGCGTGACAAAATGAAAAGAGCTCGAGGAGACGGAAGATGTCTAGAATAGCTGAAATGCAATCCGAACCTGATGCGAGACGGTCGGAAACTGGTTCCGAGTATTTTTCCTTTCCGCGATACCCAGGGAGAACGTTTTCGAATCCACACGGTCAACGGAGAAACTAATTCAGATACCGATCGTTCAGTTTTCATTGATTGGAAGTTGCACGCTCTCTTTTTAACCGACCCCGAGAAACAGTAAAAGAAAACGCGAGCCACATTTTATGGACGTGTTTCGATCTGTCGTGCAAAACCACTGAGAAAAAGCTGCGCAGCAATGGAGTCCTTCCCAGAATTTGAGGAATTCCATGAAATAATTAAATTAACAATCCCTACTTCTTCAACGACGAATCAAAATAACAAAACTAAAGAGCCAGAATCATTGAGAAACTTACCGTGTTAATTCACACAATTACCAAGCCTGCACCTTCAATGTACATTTTTTTTTAATTCAATGACAATGATAAAAGTGTGCCTTCTTTTTAATAATCTTTGAAACGGTGTCGAGTAATCCACGTTTTGCGAACGGGAAATAGTCATAATGTTCGTTTCTATTAAACCGTTTCAAGAGTACCCGGTAGTCACGATTCACTTGGATGGCCTTTTTGGATGGCTTTGAAATGTTAAGTCCAACGGAATTAAAGCTAGTTACCTAAGAGTCACTGATAAATTTAATAACATTTTCTTCGAACGCTATACGAAGGTTTTCTGTCAATAAGCGCCGCAACCTGCTCACTGAAGCCCAGAAATTTAGCATATATTTATTACCATTTCCCTTTAACACGTGGAAATACATAGTTTTCGATAAATGAGAGCTGTAACGTGTCCTCCGGAAACCAGAAATTCACTCGACGAAGGAGAAAAGTTAACTCGACCGAATCGCGGGAACATCGTAACTCCGTTTCTTTGACGTAATTAGCCCCGAGGAATTGGTTACGCGCCTCGTCATTCGGCTAGAAGTAGATAAGGCGTAAGAAGTGAAATCGCTAATACTCGCGCTAATTCGATTATCCAATAAATCCGGCACGACTTTATCGCTCGGCGAATGAATCGGCACGACGATCGGCTTACCAACTTGCTACAATTCGCCGAGGCCCGAACTACATTGGGAAACTAGCTTCCAATAGCAACTCATATTACGAATACCAGCCGACTAGAAATAATTTTAAAAGTAGGTACTTCGTCTTCAACAATAATTTTTTTTTTTCTTTTTGAACAGCTCAATCTCCATCTAATCGTAACATCGGAGTTTCTTGTAGTTTTCAGATCTTGGGCGATTATATAAATAGCTAAATCTCGATATAAATAATTAAATCCTACACCATGGCTTCGTCGAACGTTCCGTAAATGAGTCCATTTTCTCATTCACGTAGTGAAACAACACGTGACAAAACACGCTAGGCAACTAAGGTGATACTTTCGTGTATATTTTTCCAATCGGTCTTGTTGAGGGAGCATAAAACGTATCCATGCGGATAAAAATGGAAAAAGCGTTAACGTTTTAATCAGCAATCGCATAATCGGCATACCTCCCTGTCTATTTGGACGAGTTTTTTGATAAGGGACCCAATAGATATCTTAGAATCTCTTATGGAACATTAATGAACACATGTTTAGAGTTAATTACCCGATTTCGAGTAATTATTTGCCAGTAGATATCAATTATCAATTACCCCCATTTTCTTCCGAGGACACGCGGATTTTATTAATCCGAGATTTACTAATCACAGGTAAGCTATTTCACTTAAGTCACAGTTGGGACAAACGGCCCTAAGAGTAGGCTTCCAATCGTATAGTTGAAACGCGAAAAAATTCGAACGAAAAAAAACGCGTTGACGTACTAAATATTTGTTGTTCGATACGAACAATAGACGAAAACGTATATACAGAATCCGTTGCAAAAATGTCTGATTTACCCCATTATTTATAACATTTCAGACAACACACTGTTCATTTACGGAGCCGAATAGAACGAGAATGTAAGATCGGAGTGTAAGCACTGATTTAAAATTCCTGAAACACGTCCCTTTAATTGGAGTTGTAAAAAGATACCAACCGTCGTATAAGTCGCGGTACCTCCAAGGATCCCTAATTCCCTAAAGAAACTCGAGAAATCCCGGCGAATACTCGGAATACTGACACGCGAGAGTGAAATACCCCCGGAGGCAATTTCCGAACGGGGTATATCTCTATCACCGGCGTAAACCTAGCTCGGGGACAAACTCGACCCTCTGCGAGCCACAAGGCGGAGACCGAAGAGAACCGGGCGTCCTCGTCCGGCGGAAATTCGAGAAGGGATCTTCCTTTATCCTGGGCGCACCGTGCTATTTTCAGGGAGCCATGTTAAGTTCCGCCTCTTTCGAGGCGACAGAGAACGAGAGAGAGGGCGAGAGCGCGAGGGAAAGAGGAAGAGCGGAAGAGAGAAAGAGAAAGCAGCCAAGAGAGAGGAGAGGCGGTTAACGATCGGCCCTGCGTCCTGGCGGAGGCTAGGTCGGACTTTTTCCGGCAAACATGCCACACCCTACGCCACGATCGGTCCCCAAATTCGCGAAAGCGCCCTTCCCCTCTCTTTTCGGAGGAAACCTCGAGAGATCGGCCTCAACGGTGACGCATCTCGCCTGCCGGCGGAATCATCGACGAAAATCGATCCGCGGCCCGGTCGGAGGCGACGAGCCGGCCGGCCGGCGCGATTTTTGGGGTTAGGTCGCTCGTCGCCGCTCTCCGCCGGGATACGGTTCGAGTTCGGCGACCCTCCGCCCTCGCCTGGCGAGAGATCTTCCGAAATCGCTCCCTGACGCGATGCGACGTCGGGCGGCGGATCGATACGCGCCACGGCTCACCGAATCCGGTACGGCCACGAGGGAGCGCCGAACGGCCGCGAGAGCGCGCGGCCCGCGGCGAGCCGAGGGGCGCCGACCGACCGACGTCGGCGTGCACGATTTTCGGGGTTAGGTCCCCACGAGGCTCCCACGCCCTGCTCTCGACCGAACCTTCTTCCAGACCGTTATCCGAGCTAATGCGCGAAACGCGGGACGCGTCCCGAGTCGCGACTCGAGCACGCGGCGGTCGGGCGTCGGCTCGCGGATTCCCTCTTAAAGGAGCCGCGTCCCGGCCGGCTCGGCTCTACTCACTTCAAAGCCGTCCGACTTCGCCCATAGGTTGCCATCGTGTCCGGCGATGGCCGCTCTGGTAACACACTTGGACGCGAGCAGCTGCTTGTCGACGTAATCCTGCCAGCTCATTTTTCAACACAGGAGGGGGGAGGGGGAGAAAAACCGAACCGTTCCGCTACGGCACTAGAGACACAACCCGTCACCAACTGACTCGGACTCGCGACTACCGACTTCGATGCACGCCGGTCGTCCCTCCAACCCCACCTCGTCTGCGCCGTCGGAAGCATGGCGATGGCGGCCGACATGGCTGACGGTGCCCCAGTCGGCAGGCTTGCCAACCGAAGGGCCGTGGTTTCTGCTCCTCTTTGCTTCCTCGATGCTCGCGATTCCAAAATATCTCTCGCAACTTGGCCGCGAAGCGTTCTTTCCATTTTATACCTCTTTTCGTTTAAATTACTCGAGTCGCTGTATATAAGTTAGGCGCTGGACAAAAGTAAGAAAGCGGACCGTTTTAATGGTTATCCCATGACGAGAGAAAACGTGGAGGAGAGATTGAGTTTCGTGGCATACGTTTTACAAAATTCCACGTATTCCGCTAACGTCCGAGTACGTTCCTCCTGTTTCGACCATCGGTTCGCGATACTTATTTCGCCAAAATTGAACGCGTTAAATAGGACAAATTCCTCTGGCCGACAAACTTTTTACTCGTTTAGCGCTTTAACGTACAATTGTCTTCAAAGTTGTATAACTCAACCCATTCTAACATTGTTATCCGCCATATTTTTCACGTAGTTCAATTAATATAAGTTTAATAATATAACGGAAAGACTTTTACAGTTTGCGAATATAAAACATTTATCGTGTTTTTTTTTTTTGTATTTAATTTTACCCCGGTGTTGCCATTTAACGCTTTTGTGTTCGGAATAATTTCTATCCCAACGATTCTATGAATAATTCTTATGTTTTTATCTCTTGGTTTATATGCTTTGAGATATTTCAATTATTTCGATCGATTCATTTCCAAGTAACGAGTTTCAAATACCGCCCGTAGTTTGAAATGACAAATTCGTCGGTTGGCAACGCTTCATTCGACTCGTTTCCGCAAAAGAGTGCGCACACAACCTACGTATCTCTTCGTCGAATGTATGATTGCCAACCCGTATCTCAAATTGCTTCGCTAAATCTACACAAAACGAAAGTTACTGCATTTGATTCGATGACACATTTTTTATACGAACTGGGATTGATACCGTTATCGTGGTTGTACCATTTTGAACGGAAATTACTTGCACGTTAGGAAAATTCTTACGTTGGTACCGCCTACTTCGAGAACGCTCTTTTCGCTTCCTCTGAGAGAAAACAAAAGATTCACGGTCTTGTAAAAATGGTTTAAAGAATTATTTCAATATGCCGTGGTTTAACTTTAGTACAGAGATCGGAACAACCTTAAAAGATAAAGAATAAAATAAATTATACAATTATACTTGAATGCTATTATAGTAACCAATGTATAAAATATAACATTTATTATACTTGTGCATAGAAATCACAAATGTAATGATACCAAAATATATGTAAAATAGAACTTTATTTTAGGAGAAAATTCAGTATTTGTAAGGTACTATATGAGGATTGTATTTAATTTCTACGCATATTCATTGATGATTTCAAAAAGCCCATTTTATTTGATACTAAATTTGTTCTTAAGTTAAGAATACTATGCATTTAGGAAGCACGTTGCGTTGTCATTTACTATGTAATTTTCCTCGAAGAACGATTCTCCACTATAAATGCGATATATTAGTCATTGACTTGTGCAGATTTTAAAAATTATTGCATTTGATCCTGCCTACCGTACCGTAGATTAATTTCCGTTTACAGCGGGACGGTTTGCACCAATGGTACTGCGTAATTCATTTGACATAATAGTAACAACTATATGCTAATCTAACAAGGTATTTTATTTATAGAAATGAAAAAATATGTATTTTATATGTAATACGAAATTTAGAAGTATATTTATTGCATAATAAGAAAATTTTGTTCGTTAGTCACAAATGAATCAATTTAGCATCTATCGAAATTAGTAAGTCATAGAGAGCGCCAGTGTATGTTTAGCTTAAGTAACACGTGCGTTTTTCAGTCAAGGTGAGGTTATTTCATCTTTTGGGATAAATAAGAATCTCTGGACGTATAGTAAATAGAGACTTCACAAAATGCAGGTGTCGTGTCCAAATAACGTAAAAATCTACAATTTAAGCGCCGGAAAATCTCTTCCTGAAGTAAGTTTTAACGTATAGGTTATGGTGAAGATACCAAATGTATAATTGATTCTAAATGTATTGATGTTTTAGTGGCTCTCAGATGCAAAGCGAAGAAAGTTATTAAAAAAGAATGTTGGTAAGGATCAATTCACGTGCACGAGTAGCAAATAATTGAAGGATATAGTGCAACACTGTTTTAGATGGTATCAATGTAGTAATTACGAGATTGGTATTCCGAGTGCATTTACTTTTGTAGTTTTAGGGAAAAAAGAGTTGCCTTCTTTTAGAAAACAATATTGTACTATATCTTGTTACTAATTTATATATAACAGTTTATTAGTAATATTTAATTTCATGTGTTCAGATATTCGAAGGCGGATAGAACTTATTCAAGACTTTGATATGCCTGCAGTAAGTACTTCCATAAGAGTATCAAAGGATGGACAATATATTCTAGCAACAGGAATTTATAAGCCAAAAGTGAAATGTTTTGATGTAAATAATTTATCTTTAAAATTTGAAAGATGTTTTGATTCAGAAGTTATTACATTTGAAGTTTTATCCGATGACTACAGCAAGGTAAGTCCTGACTGCGTCACTATGTATTCAAATCTATAGACTAAAACTTGTATAAATGCAGTTGTTATTTTAATACTTTTGCTTTTCTTTATTGCAGTTAGTATTTTTACAGTGCGATAGGCACATTGAATTTCACGCGGCACATGGGAAGTATTATAGACTAAGAATTCCACGATTTGGTAGAGACATGCAATACCATTATCCATCGTGTGATTTGTTTGTTGTCGGTGTAAGGTAAGTACAAAATAGTAAAGTAAATTCCACTTACTATTAAATTTATATATACATATTATGGAAGTGTTGTTAATGCAGTATTATTATTGTAGCAATGAAATTTATCGACTAAATTTAGAAAAGGGACAATTTTTACAGTCATTTGTGACCGAAGCATCAGCAATTAATAAATGTGCTATAAATCCAGTTCATCATGCATTGATGATTGGTACTCAAGAAGGCAAAATTGAAGCGTGGGATCCTCGAATGAAGAACAGAGTGGGTGTACTTGATTGCGGATTCCACTGTGCTATCCAAAACAGCAAGTATGTTGCAAAAATATTACTGTCCTTCTTTTAAACACTACATTTGCAAACGGGTTATAATTTTATCCTAATATAAAATTATTTTATAGTTTACTAACGGTTCCATCAATAACTGCTTTAAAGTTCCAAGGGAGCCTGACTATGGGTATCGGAACAGCGACTGGGCATATCTTGTTATATGATATACGATCAAATAAACCATTTATGGTAAAAGATCACATGTATGGCCTTCCAATTAGAAACATTGAGTTTCATGAAAAAATGGATCTCATTTATTCAATGGATAGTTCTATTGTGAAAATATGGGAAAAAGAAACTGTATGGAAAACATGATGTATACTAATCTTTTATTATTAATTCTGCTTTTTACAGCATGCATAACATTACTGTACTGTTTCAGGGTAAATTATACACATCTGTAGAATCACAGTCAGATTTCAATGACTTGTGTATTGTTCCTAAAACAGGAATGTTCTTTATCGCAAATGAAGATTCTAAAATACAAAGTTATTATATACCTAGTCTTGGACCTGCACCAGCTTGGTGTAGTTTTCTGGATAATCTCACAGAGGAACTGGAAGAATTAGATTATGAGACAATATACGACGATTATAAATTTGTTACTGAAAAAGAGTTAGAAGAACTGGGCCTTTCACATTTGAAAGGCACTAACTTACTTAAAGCATATATGCATGGTTACTTTATGGACATTAGATTGTACAGAAAAGCCAGAGATGTGAGTCGACCGTTTGCATTTGAAGAATACAAAAAGAAACGAATACGACAGAAAATTGAAGAAGAATGCGCTAGTAGAGTTCAAGTAAGCTTAAGAGACATTAGATTTAATAGTCTTATTATATATCTAGAATTGAAAGTACTGCAAATATATAATTTTACGAATAAGGTATACGTCTTATTTTTAATTATAATAATTCTCTTCTCTAATAGGTTCAAAAATTACCAAAGGTGAATAAAGAGTTGGCACTAAAAATGTTGGACACTGAGAAAAATGATAATCCAAAGAAAAAGAAAAAGACTACAGAAAATCTTCTAAAAGATGATCGTTTCAAGGCTTTGTTTACGAACCCAGATTTCCAAGTTGACACAAATTCTGAAGAATATTCTCTACTCAAGCCTGTTGTCTCCCAACTTGACAAAACTCGAGCGAAAAAATTAAAGAAAGAATTAGCTCAAACACCAATTCTTGAAGATGAATTAGAGAATTATAAAAAAGAAGGTTCGCAATTATTTAGAAAAAATTCTAACAAATTATATGTCTTAATTCTCATTAAGAATTTAATTACACTTAACAATGTCATTAATGAACATAAGTATATATATATATATAATCCTTTCTTTCAGGTAATAGCGATTTTGAAGGAAGCTCATCCGATAGCAGCTCGGAAGATGAAAAACCATGGGTGAAAGAAGTGCAAAAGCAGTATCGATTGATCAAGAAAAAAGAAAAACAAGAAGAACGAGAAAATGCACTTAGAGTAAATGAGCATGACCCAATGTCAGCAGAAAGTAGACTTCAATTCTATGAAATTAAAGAAGGCGTAGATTTTAGGGATTCTAAAGCAACCATTAAAAAGCGAGACAAGTGAGACAAGTTTTATCGTTATATTCGCACATTCAGTAGGATTATTCAATTAAAAATTTCATGATTTTATCATTGTCCTTATTGCAGAGCAAGTCTTGGAGACAGACTGCAAGAAGAGGAAAGTCAGAAAATTAACATCACTGGTTCTCGTGGTAATAAGGAAATGACGTTTAGTCTGAAAGAAGTATGTATATCATTTTATTTCGTGTTTTATTGACCAACATATATACTTATTTATTTTTTATTGTAACAGCATAAACACAATGGAAGAAGTAAAGGAAATGTGAATAGGCATAGGAAAGAATACAAGCATCTCTTACGTCCAGCTGGAAATATTGGGAAAAAGAAACATTAATGTAGTTCATTATAATTTTAATTGAAAGAATGTGTACACGATACATTCTATTGGTGGTTATTAATATACTGTATTATGATAGGAAACCAACATCATGAAATAGCGCCGAAGGCGTGCAAAATAGTCATCATAAGGATAAATACAAAGCATCTTTTTTGCCTGGAATAAAGAATCGGAATAAGAGAAGATTTAATATTACATATGTTGTAATTTTAATGTACAATATTTTACTATGACATAAAAATGATTTCTATTAAATTAATTTCTTTATTTTATTTTATTTTTCATTCTGGTTTATTCGAATTCAATGCAAATATTCATTGCATGACAAATACATTAATAAACTCAGTCTCAGTGAATTCAGATATCTCAACAAAGGTGAAATGTCATCTCGAGCATGCGATATAACTAAATCATAGTGTTAGGGCAAAGCTTAAGTTAAATGGTCGTTACAAATGGTTTCAAGTTCAAAAGGATTCTGCTTTGTGTCGAACGGAAATGCCTTCGGTAAGTTCAATAACATCTACCATAGATACAATGAATTGAACTCTCTCTAAGTTAAAATTAGGAAAAATGATTGCTGACACATTTAAACATATTTGATACCACAATTTCGCCAAGGACCTGCAACTTTTCTGCAATGACAGCTATTTTGGAAATTTAAATGTTTGATATTACGTTTATATAAATATATGACTGCCTGTAGGTCAAGGTCATGTTTGTATAACATAAACATTATATCATTGTATCTCTCTAAGTACCACACTTTCACAAATTTCGTATTGCAGAAGAGTTATATTGATTTTGTAAATTTCATACTTAATAAATAATTTTATTTTTTGTATAAAATAAATATGGGATATAAATCAAATATCTGTCACAATGAAATTACAACCATATTCTGCTACAACAACGTAAATGTTCTGTTTTACATAATTTTATGCTCTAATGATAACAAAAACTACTCATTTTCGTAAATAGAATATCATTTATGCATTACTTATTCATTCAGACCATTCAGAATTCAAATGGATCGGTAACAGACAAAGAACATTCTCCGACACAACCAAATCATGAAGATCAACTGCGTTCTTCCACCCCATCAATACTATCAGATTTACATTTACAAAGCACTGAAGTAAGCTAACAATTTTACAATATACAAAAAACAAACTATTTAAAAATAGTATGGACTTTTATGTAATGTATTACATACAAGTATTTAATGTTAATTAAGAAAATGTATTGATGAAGAAAACATTTCACTGTAACAATCAAATTTGCATATGGATTGCCCATAAAAATTAATTACAATTAAAATTTTAATAGGTCGGAGAAATTACTGAAATGCCAGATTATGAAAATTTAAGTACTTCTGCAGTTCTGCATTACTGTAAATATAAAATTTTAAAACCCTACCTGAGGCTGTTAGGAGTTATGGGTCTGAGACCCATCGGTAGCGATGATTCAGAACATTATTCACGTTACTGCATTTTGTCAAACTTCCACACATGCCAAGTGACCGTGTTTATGTGCCTTGGTTATGTCTTGCAATACATGGCTTGTTTCAGGTGAGATTAGTATTATTCGTAAAGAATATTCTGCATTCGACGCTTAGTCAACATCACTTTATACAAATTTCAAGACAACTAGTATAATTCTTTTTACAGAAGAGATCGTGGATTCTGTTACATATTAATGCCCGTAGAGTATGAAACGATTTCAAATGCTACAAAGGAACGTACATATGAAAGAATATGCTACGGAAGTATTATATTTAGCTATTTAATACCAAGCATTCTACATTTAGTTGCATACCTGTATACGATATACTTGTTTCGTATAAAGGAAAACGAACAGCTACAAAATCTAATGGAAAGAGCTTTTTTGTTATCATCCAATCCTGCAAACAGAGGTAGCCAAAAAAGACTGGTCAGAGTACTGTGGCTATTTGTTGGATTAGGCATCTTATGGATGATTATAGCGCTTGTTACTGTAAATATAATGATGGCACAGGGAACTATTTTGTTTCAGTGGATGGAAGAAAGGTATATCATATTCTCTCTTTCATTTGTATTTTTATGTTATATTACAAAATCTTAATTTTATTTTTATTTATATTCGCTATTTTTGCAGTAAAGAACAATATACACGAAAAATACAATATATGCTATTGTTTACAGTCCTCAACAAGTAAACCTTATGTTAAAGGTCCTTTTAGTGGTTTGTACGTTATGGCACGACATGGTCCAAGGTACGATCATAACCAGTTATTGCTTACAAGGGCAGCTTTTAATGTCGCACCTCTCCTTCCTAAGAGCCAAATTACTGCAACATACTTTGCCACCCATAGACTGGATGAGAGTATGTACTATTGTTATCTTTCAAATCAGATAATTTTACTTTTAAAATGAAAATTAGAAATATTAAGACGTCACGTGTTTTATGAGAGAGTTTCTTTTATTTTTTAATATGTAGATAGTTGGTACAAGAATTTATGAATTATTCAATGTTTTAATATTTTACATTAATAGTATTTATTTTGTGTATTCTAGGAACTGAGTGAGTTTAAAAAATTACTGAAATATTTTAATGATGATTTTGGCCCTGCAGTGTGCATCTATACAATTGTCAATATATCTTGGGCTGCAGCCGGTACTACATGGTTATTAAAATATGATAGGATTGATTTCCATAACAATCCAATATCATATATTGCCATTATAAATGTCATACTATGGATTTTAATTTCCTTAGCGCCATTTATACAGGTACTTGTGTGCATTAAATTTATAAATACAGAGAATTGCTCTATTTATAAGTAATTGTATTATCTTTAGGCAGCACGGCTCACAACAGCTTGTTCAATGATTCAAAGTATAGGACACGAAGTACGAATAAGACCTTTCGTTTATCAAGGAACACCAGGTGAAGATCTAGATACAATTCTTCTTTACACATCCTCTTTAAAAATGTGTGCAAGATTGTTTAGAGTTCCAATTACAGGCAGATACTTATGCTTAATATTAACAATTGGTAGTATTGTAATTCTCACATTGGGTCAATGTCATTATTTCATATAATCAAAGCATTAAGTATTGAATTATGCATATTTTGTACATAGTTTTGTAAATGGGTACTGTAAATATTTTTACCAGCGCTTATGGAATCTACTTATATGTTTGTTTTGTTATCTAATTTTAAACTCTTTTATATATAAAGTAATATATTCTACCTCACATATGTATACAAATATTTATATTACAAGTAATGATACAACCAAACTTAACCATTTACAATATTTAAATTTAAAGCGCATTATACAGTGATTACATTTCTCCCTTAATTAATGTTAATAATACTAAATTATACAATCTAATTCCTTGTATTATGGTAAAAAAAACAATATATTGTATAATAATTTACATGTTACAGCAGTCGCACAACTTTTAAAATCAGTTTCTTACAAATATAAAAGTTTAGATATCAATCACTGCATTTATTGTAATGAAATTGCTATATAAAACCAGAGATGAGCAGGGAGATGTTTCCCGATGTTTCACGCTATTGTCAAAAGTGAGGAACAGCACACTAGCGCAGTCCAACTACTTTCAAAGAGGCGAAATGTTCTCTATCGGTAAAGAAAAACGCGTCTGCAGATTTGAAATACAACACAATACCGATAGGATGAAGTTATCGCCTTCTTGTTTTCAGTATCAGGGCCAACGTAGGTTGGGAAAGAAGACTACGAATACCAAATAAAGTTAAGCGTGAGTGGTTGAGATTATGGCGCGGCACCACGCATACCCTGTTTTACCAATCACTAAGATTTCGCTCCTTTGAAAGCAGTTCCAATTTCTACAGGAGTGTAAGGGCATAGAGTGCGCCAGCATATAGAGTTTGAAAATTCTCAGTCATAAAATCGGAGAAGGTAACTATGAAACATACCGTAACAGAGATGAGTTGGGAGATCGCTCACGGGCAGGGTCGTGCAATCGCATCCTGTGCTGCCCTTTGGTTTCGTACGTCAGTTTTCACCGTTTTTTGCCCCCAAGGGCGGCGCAACGAATTTCTGGTAGGGGCTCGCGCACTCGCGATGGCGATACCATCTACCAGTAGCCGTTGACGGCTCACGTACTCGTGATGGTAATACCATGGGAGTGTTGACGGTGGTGGCTTACTTACGCTTACGGACACTGCTCGCTTTTGATGGTAAGGGAAGAACATTCGTGGCACCCGCTTTGACTTTACTCTTCACCTACCTTATTTATTTTACGAGAAAGTGAAATTTTACCTTAATTAAATTCTACTTCACAGCTAGTTCGCGAATCGGTGTCATCCCATAAGGATGGTACCGATCCCCCAGGTCCCGCCACGAGGAGGCCGCTGTGATTGGGACCCGCCTAAGCATAGGCACCTGGTTCCGTTGAGTTCCCGGCGTCCCAGGAACTCACAGAACCAGGATTTCATAACCCATACAGCACACCACTCGCATACCATACGCATCCGTCCATACAACACACCACTCGCATACCATACTCATCCGTCCATACAACGCTCGCCGCAGAGTACAGGGTAAGTCGCCGAGTACATTGCCAGTTAGCATAGAATTACGGATATAATTTGCCGGAAGGGCATACTACTTCTAACGCGAACAATCCAGCAGCTTCCACCGTCACCGACGACTAACCCGGCTCGGCTGTCGGCCCGCGAATACGAGTTTCAGTCGACGGGCTTGTCCCGGCTTACAGCAGGCAGAGCCCCCGCGGGATGCCGCCAGAGCGAAACAACGTATCGCGCAACCGACAACCTGAGCCAGGTAGCCTTGCACGCCGTAGCTTAGCTACGACGTACTAGGTGCCGACGGAAGCTGCCGGATACACTAAAGGTACGGCAATGCCGTACCTGCAAAAATCTACTTCGGTTAGCACACAAATCCGAAATTACCAGCTACATGGAAAGGTACCCGACAACGTTCTGTCCGCACTTTACAATTACGCACGCACGCAACGAGTGATTCCACTTTTAACTACGTTAAGCTACTGTCATACAAAAAAAAAAAAACACGCTAAATGGAACCACTCGCGCAGCTATTTGCGAACCGGTGGTTTCGAACAATAGTTGGAAACCACCGATCCCCCAGGCTCACCACGTGGAGGTTGCTGCGCACCGAAGCCCATTACAAACGTAATAAATTAAGTTAAATATATTAAGAAAGGGAACGGAAGGGAGGGGGGATGTCTCCCATAAGGCCCGGTTTCACAACCCAAGTTAACCGAAGTTTGATTTTTAACCGTTAGGTTAAACCGTAGGTTAAAACTGGGGTTAAGCGTTAGGGTTAACTGTAGGTTAAAACTGGGGTTAACCGTTAGGTTTAACCGTCGGTTAAAACTGTGGTTAACCGTTAGGTTTAACCGTAGGTTAAAACTGGGGTTAACTGTTAGGTTTAACCGTAGGTTAAAATTGGGGTTAAACCAGTTGCGGTACAAACAGGTAACCCGATGTTTACCCTTCGGAAGACCAAAGGGTAATGATGCTCTCAGCGCGCGCTCTGCCTTATATAGGGTCCCCGACTCCGGCATGCGCATGCGCAGTTCCTTATCACACCTTTGTATATTCCAATTTTGGAATTTCTTTATAATAACGGAATTTCATGGCTACGGAACCCTTTTTAGGGTCTTTATACTCACGTTATAAAATTTCAAACGATTAGGTACACCTAGTTTTGTGAAAAATTTCCTTATCAATCGACCCCTCGGTTACCTCTTTCTCGACACCTTAACGGAAAATCCGTAATTATAAGATGATGCAATGGGAGCCAACGACTACTGGTAGACGGCACTGCCATCGCGAGTGCGCGAGCCCCTACCAGAAATTCGTTGCGCCGCTATTGGGGGCAAAAAACGGTGAAAGCTGACGTACGAAACGAGAGGGCAGCACAGAATGCGATCGCGCGACCCTGCCCGTGAGCAATCTCCCAACTCATCTCTGACCGTAAGCAGAGACAGAGATGAGTTGGGAGATTGCTCACGGGCAGGGTCGCGCGATCGCATTCTGTGCTGCCCTCTCGTTTCGTACGTCAGCTTTCACCGTTTTTTGCCCCCAATAGCGGCGCAACGAATTTCTGATAACAGAGATGCCGTAAGTTACAAAGAATATTGAGAATTTATGAGAACGTTACTTTTTTATTTATATATCTGAGGTTTCTTCATTCAAATAACTTTCGTTGCAATGCACTTCGAAGTTCAAGTTAAAGAGTAACAAATATTATTAAAAAATATTAATTATAGAGTTTTGTTTACTTTCAACTAAAAATATTTGCATATAACATTCCGGGAATTCCATGTGATTTAGTTCAGAACAGGACCGATGTTTCATTAATCCAGGTTACATGCAAGGATTTAACTATACCAATCACGAAGCTGTCGCCATTGGTGTGATGTCGTGACGAATCACGACGTGGACGCTAGACTTTTGTAATGCTTTCGGACAGTCACGTGGCGGGTTCTACGTCGCAAACGATAACTACTGTTTTTATCTAAAAAAGGATAACATACCTAGAAATTGAATTGTTTTGACTTTTTAATAAAAATAGGCCTTTAAAAAATTGGCAGATGTTTATAGAAAGTATACGTTCAAATGATATATACAGTTCGTGTAAGGTGTGGTTATTTCCCAAGGTGTGTCGCCCTCATTGAAATCGAGCAATAGGTGCATTACAGGTGAATAAAAGTATTTAAGGAATGTTACCAAATGCTACTTGTGCTGGACATAAATATAATTTCAGGATTTCCAGGTCATATAGCACGGGAAGTTGGTACTGTTGATGAATAGTTATCATGGACACTGAGTAACCTTTCCTAACAGAGAGAAATTCACGAATATCCGACAGAAACGGATGATGGGATTACAACGTGCATCGCTGTGTGTGGGTCTTGACATTTTCTAAACGGTAATTCACTTAATATTTACAACTTATAGCTGTTTATGGAAATTTAGAAGAATGTTGGTATTTAACCTGTAAGATCACTGTTTACATGCCATGAGAGTTGATATAGAGACTGTGCGCCATCAATTACTTTCTTTCTACTCTTCTACTGTAATTACGAGGGTGCGTTCATTTATATTAACATTACTCAAGGACACATCACTAATAACTTTAGAAACAAGTAAGGATTATCATTGGTCCCTGTTTATACAACTGTTGAAATGAAGCCGCAAGAATGTTCGGTCGAGATCTCTTGAGCATTGTGGAGGGGTGTTAAGGTAATTAACATCACAGTGCAGAGGCTATGAACTTGAATACAAATAATCAGTGTATATATAGCTTCTTATGCTTTCCATAAATTATCCACTTATGACATCGGTTAGTGAGCATAAATAGAATGAAGAATACAGAGATTGTATATTTGAGAAACAGATGTATTTATTTTTTTGTGGATATTTATTAACTTGTAGTAAAAGACAGTGAGATGATCTGTGTATAGTTACCTTATTTGGCACATTTATTTCATAAATGTGTGTACATGTTCCAGTTTGTTTTAGCCTAAAATCACAGATGCCCTACATTTTGGTACGTGGTAACCTAGCTTCCTATGGTCACAGATATCCTTGGCGAGTTCTTGTGTCTGGCTTAAAAGGTATTGTCCTTTGTTTTAGAATTCCATTCCTGTATTTGTTACATGAATCTTTCTTTATTGATCAATCAAATGTTCTTTGTCCTTGTGTTTTTTTTCTACCATTTATGCATGAACAGGTTCTTATTTCTGTCATTACTCTTATGTGAAGTAAAATTGTTCTACAAAAATTGACCATAACCTTTTTATGAAAAATGCTTACTCACTCTTGACCTTAAGATAAGTAATTATTACTTATTTCATCTGAAAGGACAAAGTGTGATTAACCATTACTATAAAACTAATGACCAGTTCATTTTTAATCTGTTAATGTAATTGTTGTTTTTTTTTCCTTTTTCTACATGATACTATTGGTGATGTAATATTTGACATATACACAAGTTTAATCCCACTAGGACCTTATTATCCATGAAGACAGCTGCTTCTGGCTCATTAATACTAACTCTTTTCAATGTACTTTCTCATAGCATCCGACATAGAGCAGTTGAGTCGTTTTGCTTCCGGAGGGTATTGCGATGACTCAACAATAGTTTACCTTCAACATCCTTGTGTCATATTGACAGCTTTGGAAGTTCTTGGGTACAAAGTAGTTGCATCTTCAAGTACAAGTGTAAAACAAGATTATAATGAGTACATGTGGACTATGAGAAAAGATTTTTCGGAGCCAGAACCAGAACCTGTTAGTGTGATAAAAGCAGGTATGTTTTAATTCTACATAGATTAATTGTAAGATATTTATTCATTTTTATATTCAATTATAGGTATATTAAATGATTAAACGTGTTGAATTGAAAATGTTTATAGACATCGCTAATTATATTATAACCATAAAGAGTATGTTTATTACTATAACGTGATACACATATTTCAGAATTCATACAGAAGCTCATCTCTTTTCTTTATTTATGTAATGTATAATTTTAAAGTAGATTTCAGAGATAATGAAAATTGGACTTCTATGCCTGTTGCATTTGTTATCCAAAATGAGTATCATTCATGATTTCAATTTAGTAGTTAATGTTGTTACAGTAACATTCCAAGTAAATCAAGTAAAAGTATAATTTCTGATTGAAAATTACTTTATGACATTTATTGCTTTTGTATTTCATAGAACTTTAACACCATTACTCTAAAATAAGAATATCATGTTACTTGAATAATTAAATGATTGATTACATTCATTTATTACCATGCATTAAATGAAGGTCCTTTCCTAGTTTTTTAGGATATGATTAAGTTTTAGTACATTTACCTAGCTGTTATTGCTACTTAAGTAAATAGATACTTCTGATCCATTATTAATGAACAAGTGCCTATTATTCTCTCCATATTGATATTAATTATAATTAAATTGAGAAAAATCTGGCATTTTGCTTTGTAGATGAATTCTGATTTATTTTTATAATTTTTACAAAAACCTGTCAATTTTATTGAAATTATGCAAGTTTCGTAACAACAAATGTTTATTTTATTTATAACGATTAAGAAATTGAATAAAGTAAAAATTGTTTTAATGATTGTTTTTATCGACAATACATGATGAACTGATGAAGGTACTGTAGGACTTCTATTTTACCGACTGCTTCTGTTGAACGAAGCTTCCTAGCTTAAATGAAGAGGTCGTAACTTTAATTCCAGTAATTGCCTTTTCGATCTTTTAGTTTTAGTCCATTTTTTCGAAACTTTTGTAATAACAAATAAACTGAGGACAATCTAATACTCACGGAGAAAGTATCTCTAAAGTATTACTTGTTACATGTCTTCTGAGAGCGTCTTTTTGACGCACAGTTTAAATAAAAATTGGCGTGATAAGCAGTTGCGATTTTGAGGTTAAATCTTCAAGGTACTCGAAACCAGTGGCGATTGACACTTTCAAATGCTCGTAAGCAACTCCGTTATGAAATTCGACGATAATAATATTTATGACATAGTCTAAAGTCTCATGAGTAATCATATTCATGTGATGTCCAGAATTTAAATTACTGTTTCTGCTTATACGTTTAAATTAAACAAAGCATTTCTGATGATCAAAAGTTTACAAACACTTGTACTGGTACAAGTATGATCTTACTTCAAAAATAGAGGTATGGCTATATTTACAGCAGTTTGAAACAATAAAAATAAAATATGGGAATGTACCATGTTTCATAGCAAAAGCTAATACGTTGACAAGTGATAAAAATAATTAACAGCAATTCTACATAGTTTTGGATTTGTGTTCACCTTTGGTAGAAGGTGGTACAAGTGTCAGTTTATTGAAGCAAAACCAACCACTATGGTGAAGAAACGGGGTATTGTGTGGAATTATTATAATAAGAAAGTTGATGGATCTCAAGTTATTGCATTTTGCAAGTTCTGTGATCAGTCATATATACAAAATGCAACGCGTATGGAAAGACACATGGAGAGATGTTCGAAATGTCCCGAAGATGTCAGACAGCGATTCATTCAAGTGGCTCATAATAAAAAGACGAAAGCAAGTATCCTTGGTATCAAGGTGAGCGATCCATGGACAAAGCAGGAATCCTCGATGGAACAAACTACTATTACTGACACCGAGTTAGAAGATTTGGATGATTGGAGCTATAGAAATCAACCATATTCAGATGGTGCTCCTGGTGGGCTACAACAAAACATAGAATTGGTTATGCAACCTGGTGATCAGGTGTGGATAAATCGTGATTCAGAAGAACAAAATAATGAAGGAGATTCCAATGTCGTGAACAGAGAATGGGAAGCAACCCGCAGCGTTGCAGAAGTAACTCCAACTGGTAAATTCTAATCAATTCAGTCTTATTTTTTATTGGTCGTGACCGTAGAATCATTTAATAGAGTTATTTAATGTGTAATTCAGATTCAAAGTCTATGTTTACGACCAAATAGTTGTTGGACATGTGTTTATATTACATTCATCACATTCCTAGCTGAAAATCAAGAACGAGCCAACATAGCTCACCAAAGGAAATCTCAAACACCAAGAAGGATCTCTCAGTGGCCACTTATTTCTAGTCGAGTTACTGACTGTTCTCCTCTGCAAAGTAAAATTTATCAAGAACAGCTCCTTGAAAGACGGGCATTAAGACGTGCTGCGGAATTGGAATTGCGTCGCAAAACTTTAGAATTTGAAAGATTTCAATGGGAGTATGAAAGAGACAAAGCACATAGCGATTTACGCTGGGCTCATGAAACTCGAATGATGCAGCTCAAGGAAGAGCGAGAGCGACAGTTAATCGAACAAGGCAGGACTCGTGGCTTATCACATGTCATGTAACTGTTCAGAGAAACAGTGACATTCATTTTGATAATCATATTAATATGCGTGATCGTCATGTCTATCAAAATTATTTTTAAGCTTCCTAATGTTTATTCTGAATGTAAGTTTTTTTATCTGGGAACGAAATTGCACATATTTATGTCTGCTAACCCGAATTTTATGTCTAGTACATGGTTTTCCATGTAGATTACAAAATCAAGATTTTGTAGATTACAAAATTAAGATGTAAACATGGGGTTCATTGTTCAGTGTATAGTTATATTGAAAAGCAGAAAATATAATAATTTGATTTGTATTTTGTACACTTAAATATCTTACTGTTTAATTGCGGAATTTCAGCAATATTGTTGAGGAAATTCGTTTCTTATTATATTTTGTTAGAGAAGTAATTCAAATTAAGTGAATTGTGAATAATAATTACATATCGGAAAATAAATAAACGATATTAAATTATTTGTTTCCAACAAATTACTGAATCATTGTATAAGAAGTCATACACGGATTCATTGGATTACAGTAATAACCATCTGATTAGTAATGGTTTGGTAAATGCATACATTTTTTGTAAGATTCGTCAATAATTCTTTCTACAAAAGCCTATATTAAAACAAAATTGAATTTAAAAATACCTCATCGATAAGTTGTACAAAAATTCTTACCGATACTCACAAGGACCATATTTGCTCAAATTAATGTCTTGAGTTTTATTGAAATATGAATGACAGATAGAAATAATAGAATGACCAATAGAAGCGCTATTCTAAGTCCCTTATGAAAATGAATGTAAACGTTTATAACATGTATGAGAAACCTAAACGTGTGACAGGTTTTTATTTCTGTATAATATTTCGGTTACATTTGTTCTATATTAGCTTACCATTATGTGATATAATGCTTTGAAACACAACAAAAATAAAACGAATTGCTTCTTGCCTTGCTATTTGACATTTCTTTGACATGAGCCAGCTCATATATTGAGTTCTTTTTTAGCGGACAAATGTAATATATGTTTTGGAGTATTTAGAAAACTATATCGTAAATTGATATATTTTAACATGATTATGGAATTGTTTAAATCATGGTAATTTTTATTAGCTTGTAAATTAAAACTAATGTGTTTGTACATTAAATGTGGAGTAATTGGTCATAGTTCTGTCAATCATTGCGTCTTTTAGAACTTATCAATTTACATCAATATTGAAAATAAATGATCATTCAATTTGGAATCATGTAATGGTAGTCAGATTTTTTACTTTAAAATATTTTCGAATCCTGAATGTCATTTCTTTTCTGGAATTTCGTATATAAAAAAAAAAATGAGTAAAACGAAATCTAATTAATGTAGTTCATTGTTCATAAATTTTACATATCTCCTTGATATGTGAGTGGACTATTCTGAGCTATTTTTAAGAACCGTGAACAATTTATTCGTATACATCCTATGCTTCATTGGTGACTTTAAAAAATTTAATTTGTATCGTTGAATTATAAAAATCCAATCTACAACTATGTTAAAGTAAATGCATTATTTAAATATTGTACCATGACAGATAAGGATATTCGGGGGTAACGTGGCATAGATACAAGGTAATTGATTGTCGATACAGAACAAGTACAATGCGATACTCAGACAATGGAAAAATAATAACTGCTCTTTCAATATACAAAGAGAAATACACCAAGTGTATTTTATACACAAAATGTAGTAAATCTTGTTGTGTAATAACAAGATTCACTCGTTCGATCGTTATACATATAAAACTGAAACATCATTCTCTGTGTTAGGTGCACATGTAGAGTTTAAGATAAAGCATTTCTAATAGTGAATGCGAGTAAGTTTAACGTTTATTTTAAATTGTCAGTAAACATATAACGTATGAAGAAAATAATTTCTAGCTAACGTAATAACTTACATATAAGTGACTAAAATATTACTAATAAGATGCTCGTGTATAGTTTTGTATACATTTAAATACAAACATATTGAGAACACGTACAAGTATAAGAGCCTGTGCTTTTTTGCAACGCAGCACCTTTTCGTTGGTTATCGGTCACTTTTGTAAAACTTTATATTTTTTTTTTCTTTCTAGAATTAAAAGACGAGGTCTGAGAATTCTTTTAGAGGAAGAAACGTAAGAAGAGATGTACGAAACGGACGATCTCCACAGCAACGGCGAGAATTACACATATATTGCTGTCAAAGGATCACCCTTTGCAACCGACTGTGCTATCTTTGGTATAAACGCAGACGAGATTATGGCGTTGAAAAACCGTTTTCCGAACTCGGGATCTAATGTCATCAACGGCGTTACCATTAAAGGTTAATGCAACTTCACTGATGCTAAGTGATACGCCATGCCTACTGATAAACGATCTTCTTACTTCAGAGGATCAGTTATGCCCTGGTTTTGCAGTAACTCGTGCACTTCTGCGTCTTGAATGAATAATTTGGTAGAAAGTGAATTGCATAACGGTATTCCACGTCCATACATAATCATGTTAAATTGGGCAAAAAAAGATAGGCAAGGTATTGTTCGGTACTATTTTATAACGGGTGGTTGCATTTCGTTTGAGACAATCCAAGCTAATGCATGGCAAAACTGAATATATTGAGCTCTAAAGTTACGGTGAGCCCTCTAACTTATAGAACTTTAACACCATAGAAAATGTACATAGTTATTGAACTGCGTAACAGTTAATGAAACATGTTTTCATAACATAAATGTAAAGGTGAGACTAGGAAGAATAAAGGGATGTAACTTGCATTTTCATTGTTCTAAATTGCATAATTACCAGGGTATGTGTGACAATTAAATTCATTGATCTGAAGTATTCACTTTTATTATAATCGACATTTTAATTCATTTGAAACATCTTAAGCTAAGGTTGAACATTTTACGAGTGTCAAGTTTCGTCTGCGCTTTTTAGAAACTTTAATTAGAACAACACTGAGAATTTTTGATTCACCCAATATTACCGCGCAGAACTTCATTATGTACATGTTGACAAGTAAATGCACGTTAAATGTATATTATTACTATTAAAATTCCCTTATAAAGGCATTCCCTACATTCTGATTTCGTAATAAAGATTAAACAATTGTTATTTAAAATAAGTTTGATTCATCTTAAAGATACTGTATGACAAAATTTTAAAAGGTACTTATTCACATGCAAACCTTGGTAATTACATTTTGAAACAGTTGAATGTAGTAAGTCGCAGGGAACATTAGATCTGGTGTGAACAGTAATTATAACGAAATAATATACTTACAATCTACTCGAAGGTTAACAAAACCACATATAAGTAAGTTGAGGATTTAAATAATTAGTGTTTAACTTGGTGCCACAAAACAATTCCTCGCATGACGATATTAACGCATGGTTATCTCGTGTCTTGTACTTTATAAGCAATTTTGTTCATTTAACAGAGTGACTCCAAAATGCTAACATTTTTTCAGGACCACCGATATCCGTGATAAACGCTCTGTCTGAGTTAGGGTATCGAGTGATTTGCAGTACCGGCGAAGCGGAGATTCTTTGGACCCTGCAGAGACAATTCTGAAGGTCGACGCGATCATTCTTAAGCTCCTACATCTGTATACTACTGCGTACCATAAAGTACTATTACATGCTATATAAGTGATGCAACGGCACAATGTTTCGAGCGAGTCGTCAAAAGAATTGAGATTTTTAACTGAATCTTGAGCAACTCTTACCCTCTTTCGTAATCATTCTAATAAGCAATGTTTCTCACAATTCATGTATACAATTTATGGACCAATTAACGACGGGATGTAAGGATTTTCGAAAATTAGAGAGAATGTAGTTTCGCGTCGATTGATATTACTTGGGGGGGAAGAGTCGCTCGAAATTCACCTCGTGATGGCTTAACTTTTACAAGATTTACAAACTGCAAAATTGCTATACCATACGTTCTTTATGTCTACTGTTTACATATTTCTGTAATCATGTTTAACGAATGAGGAGCGCGAACCTCATCGGTGGTTTCGGGCAATATACGGTTAGTTCAATATAAAACGGCCTATTTTCATAATGTAAGTAATGTCGGGGGTTTTAATGGATCTTCGCTATGTACGAATGCAAAACGTACGGTACGATTTCTCTAACTTTAGACGTCTTTACAGTAGAGTGAGGAATGTTCTGAAATCATGGTTTGTAGAACAGCGGCGACCCTACGTAAAGCGGTTGTTTTTCTGTCGAGTGTTGTTTCATTATGAAACCATAGAGTAATGATAAAAGAAGTCTATTTTCCAGACAATATTTCATTTCTATTTAGGTTCGGTTCAGTATGTGCAACTGATTAATTAAATGGTATGAATGTTGTATTTCACGTGATCGGAATTCAATTTTCTTTTCTTCTTTTACCGTCTATGCACGTTTCCAATTAGGCCCTTTATATATTTAATCGTAGATAAAATAGCAAAAACAAAATACTAATGTTAATCAGTATTTAAAACTTCGGTATTATGGATTTATTTTCTTGAATCTTTATCTCTTATTTTCTAGACTTCTTTTAATCGGAATCACCGCTGTGTTATTTATAGCAGCGAGTTACTAGTCGAGGTAACGGATATATAGTTATGCAGAAGTCACTAATCGTATGTACTTTGTGCACGATACAAATCCTAATCCGGATAAAAAATATGACGTTATCTAACGAAGTACTAACTTATTGCCAAATGTATACTCGCTGTACATCCACTTGCATCTACATTCTGAGAAATTATCATGAATGTTGTAGAATAGCATTTATCCGTGCATTTATATTTATCCCGGGTATTTGAACGTCTAATTTTCGATGTTGTTGTCACCAGTGAGTTTTCATAGATAATTTCAATGTATTATATTTGTTATTTCTTAAGCGGTCGACGAAAGGTGCTTAAGTCAGTTACTGTATCAGTATGTTATATACATATGTGTTCATTAACATTTTTGTTAAATGTGCTTGTTATTGAGCTCGTAGGAAGCTTTGGTATTTTTACTTACACCGTTACAATGTAGTCCGATAATGTTGACGTTCGGACTTAACTATTTTCTTTGAGTTTTTCTCATTACCGTCAGCATTGTTATGTGTACTCCTTAGTTAGATGTATTATTTCTCGAGAACTTCAATCACACAAACTTCTATTCCATTTGCATAACTCAGTATTGCATAACGACTCCGTGAACGATCGGATACAGACACAATTTTTTTTTTCTGCATATTATGCATCCGTACAATTGTAAAGGTATACATTATTGATTGTAATAATATACAGGATATCTTGATGTATTACGCAATAGTTTCATTTTACCTTCGACGGTCATACGAGCTAACAGGAGCAATGGTCGTTCTTGTAGGTCCTTTATTTTTGTAGACATTTTTAAAATCTTCACATTATATTCACGCGACGATTGTCAGTGCATAAATGTCAGTTTTAACTAATTCATCGTTTCAGATCAAATTACTTTATGTTCACTGATTATGGATGCACTACGCATAACGTCAGGTAGATTCCTTATATATGACACAAAGAAAATAATTATTAGAACTGAAATGAAGATATGAAATAGTCGATGCAATTAATGTTAACCATTTAAAATTCAATATCGCAATGGAAATTCTTTTTTGTAGATTTTTAAAATTCAGAATAAAAATCACTATTGGTTTACTGTACACTGTTTGACCACTTTTCTTTTATTTGGACTAACAACTTTTTCACCTTTCTCTACAAATGCCTGTGTGTATGTCTGCTAGTGTTTGGATACATGAATGAGCAATAAGTTTCAGGTTGAAGCAATGGACCATTCTGAGCATACCGGAGACAAACATGCATGTTGCAAATCCGCTGCAGTTCGAACCAGTGTTTGCCAATCATTGTCGGAAATGGACTTCGAGCGAGGGATCTGGTACGCTGGTAAGAAAGACCTTTTGAGTAATTTTATGTTAATTCAATTCAGTCATAAACCAGGACCGGTGCTCTTAAATCTACCAGTTCATTTACGATACAAAATGACTGCAATAAAATAAATTCGCGTATTTACGGCGAAAGACATTGAAGTCTCTGCATTGGGAATATATTTAAGAACAGATTACATGTAATCGTTTGAATTTTTTTCTCTATACTTAATTACGATCAATACTTATTCTAGGAACAATTACTGTGGTTTCTTATTGAAATAATAAATGTATTATCTTCGTTTAGTATATTCAGGATCAAACGAGAAATTGTCAAGGTCCTGTTAGAAACCCCTGATCTAAGTATTTATTTAATCATAATCATTTCTTCTTACATATATTAAGTACTATCAACAAAATTGTTTTATTGAATATTTCATTATATCTGTTCATCTTAATTTTTTGTATAAACCCATATCATGTCTAGACATTTTAATCAACATAGATAAGATTAGATTAAATATACTTATTTCTAATATTATTCGTGCGTTTGACAGTGATATATTCTATTAAAAAGAAGTAAGGGTGAAGATATTTCGTTTACATTTTTATAACCGTTATTTTTAAAATCGTCTTTTCGGAACTTAAGCAATCCTTCTCACGTACTTTATATGATTTTAGCTCAAACAAACGACCTGGATCGCGTGAACAACTTATTGAAAAAAGGAACTTCAGCATCTGCGGAAGATTTGGCTGGATATACTCCGTTACATTATGCAGCTCGTAATGGTCATTATAAAATCTGCGAGATGTTGCTTGAAAACGGAGCCAACGTGAATGCCATAACACGTTCAGGCCGAGCAACTGCTCTTCATAGAGCTGCCATGCAGGGCCATCAGGACATCGTGAAACTATTATTAAATGCAAAAGCAGATCCAAACATGAGAGACGATGATGGATATACGGCTCTTCATCGTGCAGTTTTGGCAAATTCCAGTTCTGTATGTAAACTACTGATCCCACGTACGAATCCGAAGTCTTTGGACAAGAATGGACGAACAGCGTTACAGCTTGCGGTAGAAAAAGGTTATCAAATTCTTGTCAAGATGTTTGATCCCAACAGTTTGTGATATGCACGAGTTCAACAACTTTCGGGCAACAGCCGGATACTAAAGAAGCTGGAACTGCGTTTTAATGTCGTTGAATGCATATAGATTTCCTATCACTGCGTACACATTTGTGTTTCAAGTGTAATGATAAGATATTGAAATCAGCGTATATACATAAATGTGCTGCTTATGAGTTTTCTTACGTAAGCTTACTTTTCATAAGGTACATAAACAGTAAGAGCAACGGAATGTCTTGATGTGTATCAGCTCCGTTTGTAAAAACGTTGCGCATGTGAGAAATTGCCCATGTTCGAATACTTCCGTAACTCGTGGAACCGACGAATTTAACTAAAATCCCAGTTCTCAAGTTTTTACGATTTCTCTCTAGGTATACAAATCATTAGAAATATTCAAACTTACGGAACTTTTAAGAACACAGGTGTCATGAGACGGTAGCACAAGTGTAGTGAATTCGTGTAACGGGGTGCAATGTGGTATAACGTATTACTTAAATGTACAACACCGAGCAATCCACATTTTATCGTTCTCCCGTACGTAGTAATAGATACTAAGAAATATAGAAATAGTTAATATAATTTTTAATAAGTAAATACGGTTCTTCGTGTAGTTACGCTTGCAACTCTCGTCTCGAATACCGTCATCATCTCTTCTAGAAGACAATATCTGGGTGTTTGATTGAAGTATAATTACTTATATGCGACAATGGTGAACGAAATCATTGGATTCAGAAGCCAATCCTCGGTTCTCACAAAACGAGGCCTCCGTCACGTGTTGCAGCAGTGCGTAGCTTTATTTATCTTTTGTCACGTCGTATAAATTCCGTTCGCTCCTCGGGTGCGATAAAATATTTGTCCCGAGCCCGTGGAGGTTTGCGCCTGCCAGGGTCGGCAGAAACCCGATGCGGCCCTGCACGCGAGATTACGCGCTCCCAATTCCTCAGTGTCGCAATCACCTGTAACCGTGTTTTGATCTTCGCCTTGAAGGCAAGACAGGAAAACGAATTGTGACACGATAAAGTGCGTAAGCGCGCGCCGTATAAGGTCGCGGCACGAGGAACTGTTCCAGAGTAGCTTTCGTCCTACATCTAAGTACAAATGAACTTTTCTTTTTCACGCTGGTCCACGCGCCGCTGCTGCCTAGACGCGTAGAGTTGCGTCACCTGAAATTGGATTAATCTTCGAGGCGCGTGGGCCGAGGAAGAGCGCGGAATTAACCGGCGAGGAATGCCCTGTCTCTTTCGCGCTTTTACGCCAGTTTACGCCTCGTTCGCGCGGTGGCTCGTGCAGACCAATCTAGAGGCTCTCCTTCGAGGTACACGTTACGCTCGGTCTATTACGGCATCGTTCCTTATGCTTTTTTCTCCGAGCCCCTCCCTGCAAAGCGGTCACGTTTCGCGTCACCTTCGAGACCTCGCTCCGCGGCAACGCCGTTTGCTGCAGTTCCTTTCAAACAACGTATTTATTTTTCATTCGAAATGTCCAGTGGCGAGCGTTTTTAACGCGCTCCGATAGACTACTTCATAGGAAATACGTACGTGGCGGCGATGTCAATTCTTGCAGTAAACCCCTCCACCACTGCAAACCCTCTGACGTAATGCTGTTTAGTTCATTATTTATGTCAGACCATTTTTAATGAGAAATTGTAAATGTTTATGCAAACACGGACGTGGAATCGTCAATAGAGCGACGGCTGATTACAGACATATTTTTTTACGCAAATTGATACCAACAGAGATGAAGACCCTGAATTCATTGTTAATCGACATGCTGCCGGGTTATAAATTTTCAATTTCTTAACTGCTTCAAAAGAAATATATGTTTCAGTGACGACTTAAGTACAAACAATTAGCTACGGGATCATCAACAACCGACGCAGATTGATTTACGTGGAGCGGCTGAAAAACTACGGAATGTATTAAACTAAGTTTCTTAATAATCTCTGTCTATGCGTGCCAATTCTATGTTTTAAACGATAAGAGATCTCTGTACGTGATATAACGATATCCAAATACGCCTTTCCTTTACGAGCACCAACCACCCAAGTTTTAAGAGGTATCAGCTCTATTAACCCTTGATTTGTTATTTTAGTCGTCGATGCGGTAATTGATTCCGAATTGATATCTCATCGAAAAGCCTGTTATTATGTACTAAGTTAATCTATCGAAATAAGCGTTATCCAATTGCATGTTGAAAATCAGATACTCTGGATGTCGTTTGTTCCAGCCAGGAATTCCCGCCTTCCGATGCGCGCGAACGGGCCGACCAATCGGTGAGTCGTACCCTTCGCAGGGACCAATAGGAGCGCGACCTACTTTAGCAGGCTCGGCGCGCATGCGTAGTGCCAGTCCATGCGGTTGCACGATAACCTCGCCCGCGAAACGGTACGCCGTCGCTCTACCGAATTCACTTCCCTCCCAGTAGCATAGATTTCATTCTCGGTCAATATGAACCGTGATTGCGATCGGTTTCGGAATTCCTGACTACAAGGAGGCGAAGGTACGCGACAACAGTGCTCAACCAACAGCGCTCGTGATCGAAAAGCGCGGGGGCGACGATCCTGCAACGGTCCCCCGAGGCTCGCGAGTCGATCGACTCTCGAACGGTCTTACGCAACACGCAGTGCACGGTGCGCATGCGCGCAGGTACGCTATGTGGCACGCGATAGTGGAACGCATGCGCGAGGTTCCGATTCGGAGACAATTTCTTCACTTCTAATTAAAATGCTAGGCGTGTCGCGTCAGCGTCGTCTATGTCCAAAAACATAGAAACTTGAGTTATGCCCGAAAGGAGGCTCTCGCAACCCTGCCGTTCCGGTAACAATTTCATTAAATAAAAGGAAGGCTCATTGCAGTCGTGTGCGTAACGTCGGAGTTTCAATTTCTCTCCCTAGGGATATCTCTGCAAAATCCAGGAAAATCGTTGCCGACGAATATCGGGAAACTGTCGTGTTCTCTTTATCGTACCTCGATAGATTAAAATAAATAATATCTTCAGTTTCAGAAATTAATACGGAAGGTAGGTTTTCGAGGGAAGGGAAGAAATTGGTCTCGATTAGGAGAGTAAGATAAAGTTCTACAAAGGAAAGAGATGATATGAGTTAATAGGGCGCTTTTAACGATATTTCGGGTTGGCGTTCTTTCTCTCTTGCTGTTACTCTCTCTGTCTCTGGAGTAATTTACGTTGTCATCGATGCCAAAGAAAGTCAAGGATTGACATTGCTCGTTATTGTCATAAAAAGAAATAGAAAGTATGATCGAGTAAATTACAGAATTACTGACATAGTTTGAGGTCGATCAAGATTCCAGAATGAATTTTGATTAAAAATAAAATGAGGCTCGGCCTTTGTCCACTTTAACGGCAGTCATAATGATGTCGCGTTAATGACTTTTCCCGTCTTATGCTGGAAACGAAAACGTAAGGAATTAAAACGCTGGTTCGTTGTTCGTAATACATTAACAGTACATGACTCGTTTCTTAGGCACTACATGAATATTTAAAAACAATTTATTCTGACCGTTAGCGGACATTAATGCATTTTTTAGCGACGATACTCTTAGAAGCGATTACGATTCACCCAGAACTTGACGAAGATATTCAAACGGGAATAGTGATCTTTTGTCCACTCGTTGTCCGCGTCCAAGCATATAGACACCCTCATCAATTGAAAACGAAAGAAGAAACTAACGAGAACAAAGTAGATAAAACCCTGTCATGGCATGAACCACCAACAGCGAGCGGTCTCCTACAACGACGAACCATTTCGTATCTACGAGCGAAAATCGATAAATTATTAGAAAGCGAATGTTCGCACGTAGTTTCGCCAAGGTGCATCGCCTAGTAGTTGGCTGTAATTCCCGGCGTCGTCCGCCGCCCGCGCCGGCGGCGAGTCGCGGCGAGCGGGCGGCGAGCCGCCGCCCTCCGCGAGCCCGGGTCATGCACTTGATATTGAATCCGTCGGGCGTTTCCGGCAAAACTCGGGAGCGGCCGACGCGACTCGGGTGTCCTCGGAAGCGTTCGGCGGGGCTCGGGCGGTCGTTGCGTGCGGCACGTCGCTCGAGCACGGCCGCCGGAGCCCCTCCGTCGAAACGGTGTCGCCACCTGGCGGAGCCTGGCTCGGTGCGCAGCCGTGAGGTCGCAGTTGATCGCGTTGAGTCAGTCGTTCATTGGTTATATACGGCGGGTGGTTCGCGGCGCGGGGACTGGTCGACGCCGTCGGTCAGCTCGTCGCTTACGGGAGTCGATCGCGTCGAGATTATTCGAAGCAGCGCCGCGCCGGCGCTCCTAACCTAGGAGATCGAGTCGGAGCGAGGCCGAGGGCCTCGCGGCGCGTCCGCGAGAGATTCGGCGGCGGACCGTCGGGCCCGAGTGACATTCGCGGGGCGATGTAACCGTGTCGTGACGTCACGCGACTAATCGAGTGCGCCCAGAGGGCCGCGTCGCGACGAGAAGGGATCGCTCTCGGCCGGGAGAGCCCGCGCGGGACGGGAGAGGACCGGGCGAGTGCGGGTCCCGAGTGAGTCGGAGAACGAGACGGAGCGAGGCGACCCGAGGAACACGGGGAACACGGCCAGCGGAGCAAGAGGGACGCGTCTCCGAGCTCGACGAATCTCGGAGGGACAGGAGAGGACTCGGTGGTCGCATCTGGGCCGTCCGCCGGCCGAGCGTGACCGCGACTCGAGACGCCGTCGTCGGGCCGAGTTGCGCCGCCGCTCTTACCCGGCCTGCACTTGGCGAGTTTTCGTCACACGTGCGAGTGCCGGGCCGCAAGAGCGACAGAGAGGGAAGGAGAGACGGACGCCCCGCCGGTCGGCCGGGCGGCGGAGGGACAGAACGCGCCGCGAGCCGTGAGTCGCCGCGGAGTGGGGGGCGAGGAGGGAGCAGCCGCCAGCTCGGCCGCGAGAGTGCGCGCGCGGCGCGGACACGCATGTAGTCGCCGCGTGGTTCGTGTGCGTGTCCGACGTCGTCCTCTCGTCTTCTACGCGTCGAGCCCGGGATCGAGTTTTCGGGGCTGAGGCTGGCCTGGACGCGTCCGCAACATAAGTTTGCCTTCCTTCGTGCGTCGATAACCGAAGCGGCGTCGAGAGACCACCGACGGGAGGCGTCGCGGGTTCCCCGTACCCGTGCCGAGCTAACCTACCCGACCAGCTCCGAGCCGCTCCTCCTGCCCCGTCGGTCGACGGGAGGGGCGCCGAGCGCCCGGGAGGTACTCTCCGCGCACCTGCGGAGGGCGAGTCGCGTTACCTGGGAAAAGTAGCGGGAAACGCCGCGCAGAGTTTTTGTGCCCGCCCGCGGGGGCCCACGGATTCTTTGCCGACGGACCGCGGGTCGGAGGAAACATGGAAGCCGGCCTTCGGAGCGTCGCTCCGAGCCGACCTGCGGACCCGACAGCGACGCACCTGCGGACCTGGATAAAGCGTCGTTTATGGGACCCTAGAACCCCCGGCCTCACGAAATACCGTGTCGAGCGATGCTCCGTGCAGTCCCTTGGTAACGGGGGGCGCGACGTGTCCGTAGATATCCACACCTAAAGCCGCGTATTCTCTCGCGTAAACATCAAATCGCGGTTTCTTGGGGGCTACTGCACCTGCGGGGGAAAAGACTCGTCTTCGTCGAGACAACTCGAGACCCTGCGAAGTAATTTAACTTGAGACTAGGGAATTGTACGAAATACTGCAAGATGGCGCTAGAGATTCGACGCAAAATGGGGAAAAAGAAAGAAAAAAAGAAAAAGAACAAAATCGAACGTTCTCGCGGTAACGTGATTTAAGGAGGCATTTCCTGGATGTGGCAAAGTGATAAAATAATATATTGACGTTAACCGGAGTATTCAGTTGTTATTGTGCAGATGTGGATAATTTCGTTTAATCAGAGCCATGGTAATGCGCGTTTGCATTACGCAGCCCTAACAAAAAATGTTACATGTTGCTGCAGAGGTGGTATGTTCTTTCTATCGTGGTTCGTTTGTTCGCGATAAGGTTGGATTATGAAAGGTGGACGAAGGGCTCGAACGTAACTGCCGTGAGAAATTTCTCGATTCGGGTATTTATTCAGTTTTTTTCAGTTAACACTCCACGAGGCTCTGTAACTGTGACGCCACGTGTTTGTATTCTTTCGCTTTCTCCTTTTAAATAGGTTCTCCATTTTCGTTATCGATTGTTCCTATTTTTACACACCTGGTAATGCCATCCGGAGAACCGGCATTATCGAGGGCTAAAAATACGAGAATCGGACGAAATTTTTTTCGAGCTTGCATGGCATGTCTCAATAATGGTCGCGGCATATTCCGCTGTTAAGTCATCTTATTGATCTATATGTGTACCCGCCACACCGATAATGATAACGCACTGAAATAACATGGCATCCTCTTGCTACACCGACCCGCGTAACGGAGGAACCAATTGCGAGCTGCTCTTTTTTTTCCCCTCTTTCTTTAAAAACCTTAACAATACTAACCTTCCGAAGTATTCACTCTCGTCGGGACTCTCTGCTTCTTTACCCGAAGATTAGCTCGTGGAGATTCTATCGTTTTCAAACGTTAAGAGCAGAACTTTACGCGCAACACCAACTGATCTTAACTCTTAAAAGCGTTCCTTCGGGGGTACAAAATTTCTCCGGGATTATTTTTTGAGTAATTATTTAAATTTGTAACTGTTTTCTGACGGACGAGGGAAACGGTGTACGGCAGCCGCAGAACACGGGAAATAACGTACAATTAACACCTAAAATCAAATCGGAGCAATACCTCGTTAGAGTGAACGTACGCGCGGGAAAAAACAAAATTGGTTAATTTATGCAGAATCGTTTGACTGCATTTGGTTTAAGTGGTTATGTTAATTCGACGAAATATTTGTAGTCGGAAAAAAAGTCACTTTGGCTAAACGCACCAAATTGGCGTGATCTACCACAACGGAATCAAGGAAAATTTATCATCCAAAGTATTTTGTCAACTAATTATTTAATTATCCGTATATTAATCATATTCTTTGGGCGAATCAACGAACGTTTTATTGAAATATCTTCCTGTGCGCGGAATGACCGTTGAACGCTCCGTCGTTTCCGTTCGCGCATCCAGAAATCGTTTCTTTGTCCCGTTAAAAGACGTCTCATCCAGCGTTAGTTGCTCATAAAGGGTTTTTTAACCGGCAGGTTCAAACGGTCCGTCGGAGTCTCATCGGCGGCCTAATTTCCGGCGAGGAATCTCGAGGCGGGCGGAGTCTCGATTTTCGAGCGGGCCCGAGGATCGGAGTATCGACCGAAGGTCAGCCCGGGGTGGATCCTCGCAAAACAAAGGATCGGGAGGATCGAGAGGATCCGCGGACAGGTAGCCGCGGTGGATATACTCCCGCAGGACCAGGAGGGGCCCACGTGTTCCACCGTCGCGACGCGAGAGAGAGGCAGCGAGGAAGCGAAAGGAAGTCCGAGAGAGAGAAGACGGGGGCCAGAGGAGAGCAGAGGCTGTCGGAGAAGGAGAAAGGGCGACCAAGACAAGGCGAAAAGTCGGTCCAGAGAGATAGGGAGAGAGAGAGGAACGAGGAGAGGGTGATCTGCACCTTGGAGAGGAGCGAGAGAGAATCGGAGAGGGGGAGAGCCAGCGACAAAGAGGAAGCGAAAAGAGAGTTCGAGGGAGAGGCGCCACAAGAAGGGGCGACTAGAGACGCAGGGAGAGAGAAGGAGACAAGCGACGAGCATAGGAGCGAGGGATAGGCGGCATCGGGAGCAAGGTGCTTCCAGGAAGGACTCGCCGCGGAGAGGAGAGGGAATAGGAAACCGAGGAGCCGCCGACAGGGTGCTCGGCGAGGACCTCACTGTCGTTGACGGGGACCCGGGAGAGATGAGGGGTCGGAGGTCCACCATTCGCCGCCCGGTCGGGCTGAGCGAAGAGGATTTCGAGTCGAGCTCGAAGACCTAAACTGTGCTCTACCGCCTCGTCCCGATAACCCGGTAAAAAATTCCAGGGTTTCGGTCGAAGGAGGAAATTCCTAAGGAAATCATCTCGGTGGAAATCTCTTGCCGGGAGGAAGATAAGTCGTGGCGATAACCGGCAGCACTGGGAGCCGAAAACCCGAGGGACTCTCTCTCTCACTCGAGGAAATACCGGTCGCCTCGTGAAGGAATTCTCGAGACGGACGCCCCGGGGGAGTTTCCTACCCCCTCTGGCGCGAGCGTCGCCGAGTGCTTATCGCGTCTCGCGATACACCGCGCTCTCCGAGTCGTCGGGCGCCGGGAAGTACCCCGGCGAGACCCCGACCGAGTGTTTACCTTCGGTGCGGCGAAGGAGTCGGACCTTCCCCCCAGGACGGGGAACGTCCGGAGTGGTCGAGCCGAAGGGCCAATCGCGTGTGACGTCCGTCATCCTCGCGCGCTACGCAACGCGGCCGTCGGGGGGTGGTTCAGTGTCCGCGTGGCAGTGAGAGAGGGAGGTCGTCGAAGGGACGCGACGCAGGGCCCGGTCGAGGGTGCTTCCGGTACTTCCGGTGCTTCCGGTGCTCCTAGAGCGCCACTCCGCGGGACCGGCGGTCCCTCTTCCTTACGACGGATCTACCCCGACGGTTTCGCGCCACGCCCACCCTCGATGAGAGGAGGCACATGTCCATTGCTGCAGCTGAAAATGCAGGGTGAGTGTCGCTTTTCCGCTTTTCCCGCCCTCGACTCGTCGCCGAGCGAGAGGTCTTTATTCCTATGCGCCGGTGCCCAGAGAAATTACGCCCCGGTACGCATTGTCGATCCACCGATTCGTAATTACGAAGCTGTGACCGCTCGCTTTTGTGATCGCCCATCCGATGGCCGTTGCTTTCCCTGTCGGCCGCGACGCGGCGCGATAATTAATATCTACATTTGGCTAATCGGCGCGGTCCGTTGTTGACCACTCGGCACTCTCGATTATTCAATATCGCCGATATCAGGGTATTAATAGACGCGGCGTCAGATCTCGAAGATACTCCGGGAATTCGCCGTAGAGTGAGGCGATACCTGCCACTTTGCGAGTTTTTATTAAAAATAATAATAATTGGTTTTTTTGGGACGCGTGGAATCTCCTTTGCGGGAATATTGACGTGCAGTGGGCCCCAGGGCTCGTGCAGGGGAGCAAGAAACATTAGAAATGGAAAACCGCCACGGGTACCACGTGGAGTGTCGGCATAACGGCGGATGCACAAGTGTTAACTGCACTAAATCTTGATTATTCGCGGTGGAGATGTGCAGGCTAGCTGTTTATCATCTTTGCACAGTACCTCCGTGTAATTATAACCCGCTGAGAATAGGGAAAAATTGCAAGGTGTAATTAACGTCGAACTTGTTCTGCACAAGGCTTAATTTAATACATGAGAGATGCGCTAGAGATGGATTTAATACTTAATACTACGTAAATTTGTGTCACGATATGTCCACTTTGACATCGTTCCCGAGGAAAGACGAGTTTCGTTTTCTGACAACGCGGGTGTATTTACTTTTCAAAATTACCACCTTGTACCCTGAGATATTACGTTGGTGAATACTTAGCGCTACACTGCAAGGTAAATAAGAAATGGCAAAATGTAAGATTAATTATGCGCCGACCCAATACAAGCGTGGGTAAACCTCTTGACCTCGGTCTTATTCCCTAAATGCACTTACAAGGAAGGTATCCGAAGTCGATCTCTCCGATTTCATTTCTTTTATAATATGTTATAGTAGACTAAAAACTAAGCGACACGTATTTCTTTTTTATCTGCCATTAAACCCTTTAAGGGGGTGAGACCACCATCCAATGTAAGGCCTCTGAGGGGTGGCTCACCCCTTAATTTTTTTTTATTGAGAAAATTATATTTTTCATTTCTTGTTATGAGAAAGCTTTTCCAGGTGGATTGGTTAAAAAATATTATGTTCTTGTGGGTGAAACTGCCAAATCACCTCTTGATATGACTTACTTTGAATGGTGGTTTCACCCCTTTAAAGTCTTTAATGGCAGGTAAAAAAAATACGTGTCACTTAGTTTTTAATCTACTAGTGCATACTATAAAAGAAATAAAATATGAGAGACCGACCTTCCTTGTTAGATTCGCATCACGCTGGCTTTCCGATGTTAATCGGCGATGTGGCAAAGTATTAGGTTGGGGAATAATTGATATTATTGGGACTCGGATTCGCTGTAATTTGGAAATGATCAAACTCGGCGCATGTTTACATGGATTTATTGTTTTCCTAGTTGTTTTATCCATGCGTTTTTCACGCGCTACATTAAGCCTCGTGTATTTGTATTCGTGGATAGAAACGCCTGCAAACTGCGATCGTTATCGTGCCACGCTTTGGCTTTGTTATGAATTCCCAACATATGTACTCCGAACGCAGAGGTCCTTGCCCGGAATCATAAGTTGCGTTTTTAGGTCTATTATGAATCCCGAGAATCTGCTCCTTTTCTCGATTGTTTCCTTCCAATGTTTTCTCTCGATAGCTAGTGGGAGTGGTTCGAGAAAACCGAGCAATTCAGGATGTGTAAACCTCGAATCCAATTTCAGGCCCAAAAAAAATTATCAGGCTTATTGGAATGTTTCCGTGGTGTAGACGTTTGTGCCATGTTGTTTTGTTTGTGCTATTTTCGTTTAAAAAAAAAATAAACAAATTCCGAAAATGACCATTTTAACGTTTTTGACTTTGGTTAGAATGTTACATTGAAGTGACTTAGTATTTGGCTTAAAAAATTATTAGTAGCGAAAAAATATTGTTAGAGGTCTATGCAAGAACGAGTTGACCGTTAACTGTTAAGAGAGAAGCGGAAACGTTTCCGTTAGAAAACATTGTTCTGATTTTGCACGGATCGGACACGTGTAAACAGGCCTTTTGCATTCGCGGTACCACATCCCTATGGGAGCAACTCATGTTCATCCCCATAGAACCCGGAAATGTATCCCACGTGGGTAAATCGATTTTAACTTGGATTTTATATGTAGAAAAGATTCCCCAATGCCAGGCAATCTTCCTAAACGTTGGATCGGAATGTCTGGGAAAATGAGATTTTCTCGAAATTCGTTGAACCCTGACGGACGGGACACGTGTGTCGCGTTCTCGATGGAATCCGAGAAGAAAGTGTCGCGTCCACTATTTGAGGGCAAAGGACGCACGGACGTGGCGGCGGACACCGCGAAAGGAAGCTCGCGGAATCGAAGAGCGAAATGGCAGGCAAGTCGAGCCGACGAGCGAGGGAGGGGAGATCCTTGGCACGGTTCTGCAGCGTTGCAGTTATAAGCCAGCGTGTCGGCAGCACGGCGTCCCGGGAGAGAAAGATTCGATTCCGACGGACACTCTTCGGAATTGTCTTTTGCTGCCCGCTCGCGGCCGCGACTGCGTTTTTATTCCTTCCCCTCTTTTTTTTTTTTTTTTCGCGGCCGAGTCGCTCGATCGACTTTTGTGCGTTCGGTGTCGTCGATCGGAGCGTTTGGATTAAATCAGTCGTCGGATTTTATTTGCGGAAATATTTTCGTCGGTTGATCGTCCGATGTGGGACGACGAGAGGGTATCCGTGATATTTTCTGTTAATCAATTTTCCGGCGTAACAAATATTTTAGAGGCATTCCGTTGAAAGGTACAGACACGCTCGATCGACTTTTGTGCGTTCGGTGTCGTTGCTCGGAGCGATTGGCTTAAGGGGATGTGAAAGAGGCATCCGAAAACTCAATCGTTCATAAAACTTTTCTACGAGCTGGGTGTCTCAAATCGCTTCATACTTTAAAACGTGAATATGGAGACCCTAAGGTAGGTCCTGAAACTCGCGAAATTTCATTTTTTATATACTATTTTTAAAATACTTATAAACAAATTTGAAAGGAATTGAAATTTCGTGAGTTCCAGGAACTTCCTTATAGGCTCCCTATTCACGTTGTAAAGTTTCAAACTATTCGGTAAATCGAGGTGGGAGAAAAGTTTTATAAACCAAATCTCTTCGATGCCACTTTCACATCACCTTAAATCAGTCGTCGGATTTTATCCATGGAAATATTTTCGTCGGTTGATCGTCCGATGTGGGACGACGAGAGGGTATCCGTGATATTTTCTGTTAATCAATTTTCCAGGGTAAGAAATATTGGGTTGTCAAACTAAATAATTGCGGATATTGTCGATAGATGGTATTAAAAAATCCGCAATCACTTAGTTTGCCAACCCAATATTTTAGAGGCATTGCATTGCGAGGTGCCCATCTTTTTCTAGGTACGGATACTTCGATAGGTGAATGCGGTTGTTGCCGTGTGCAGTTGAAATTACCCGCGAAGACTTTCCGGTCATTCGATTTTCGACAGTATTTCGAGATTGCGTAAACGAGATGATTGAAATGTCTCGGGGGGGGGGGGGAAATAAGTAACGACGATAGAATAGCAAGAGTGATGACATTTTTGGCTTAATTTGACGCGTTGCATGCAGAGCCTCCTTATCGTGCACCGCGGGTTATCGATCGGCGTCGGCGAAGATTAAGATTTAGCCGATGGATTTCTAATTGCGCGCGAGAGACAAAGGCATATGGGAAGATTCGCACGCTAAGGTGCGATCGTGCAACCGCTCGGAACCGTTTAATCCTCCACCGGTTAATGCGCTTAAATTATTTACCAAGCCGCGGTCGTGAAATGCCTATCCAGGTAGTGTCCAAAGAGCGGCTCCTCGTCTAGCCATTTTGAGTTCCCCGCAAGGGTATTTTAAACATACATGTGTCGAAAAACTTGCATTAAACGTGGTTTACCGGTCGGGAACAATTTTTTTTTTTCCCCCATCTAAATGAACGCAAAATATTCAGGACCGATTCGTTGATCGATCCATTAATTCCCCCTTCCAGTGGCTGTAAAGAAAAAGCGGGGCCCCACCGTGGTTAATTAAATCGCCGAATGTCGAATTCCGCGTGATCGATAGCGTTCTCGGATCGATCGGATATAATCGATAAGTTGCCGGCATCGGGCCGAGAGTCGGTTGCACCGGCAGGGCGTCGCGGCGTCCCTAGGGACTTCGTGGAATTCCCCGGAGCTATCTCGGTCTCTAGCACATATTCTCGGTGGTTTCGTCACTGCTCGCTCCTCCTTACCCGTGGATTCCGCCAGGTGTATCCTGCTCGTTTCAGGCGCCGGCTCTCTCCCTCTCTCTCTTCCCCCGTCCCGCGCGTCCCCGTCGTCCCGTCTCTTTCCCTCTCCCCTTCTGCCTCTATCCCGGGAAGCGACTTCCAGTTTCCACGGGTTTTACTCCCCGTTATCCTGGGCTTCGACTATAAAGGTGCCCCCCTATCGCCGGGCCCGTTTCACGAGCTCGCGCACCTGCGATTCAAAATTGCTTATTGCCCGCCTCTGTGTCGGAGCCTGATGCTCGCGTTAGCTCCTAGAATGGGCCAATGCGCGGAATTCCCTCGCCTTCCTCTCTTCGCCTGTCGTTCGATTCCGCGAGGCCGTGGAAAGAGAGAGAGAGAACGGCATCCGCGCGTTTACGTCCCGAAAGAAGGCTCCCAAGAAAAAGTATCCGGTTTTCCAGCGCGCCGATACTCTCGTTTTTCCTCGACCCGAAACCTATATCTGCCCCACGGAGGTAAAAAGGAGTCTGTCCAGTTTTTTCGAGACTGGTCCATATTTTACCTCAAGCTAAATCAAAATCACGTCTCCAAAGCTAGCAG